TTTTCTTTATCTCACTCCTGGGGTGAAGGGTATTGCTGTGTGTGTGTGTGTGTGTGTGTGTGCGCGCGCGCTTGTGCGCGCACGTGTTGGGAGTGTTCCTAGAGGTGAAGACCAGAAAGGAAAGGCCCTTGGAAACTCGGGACAGGACAGGGAGGGAAGTGGCAGCGTGCGCGGTCCCCGCCCGAGGCGGCGAGCGAGCGAGCGCCTGGAAGTCGCGTGCCCTGCCGAGCGCTGCGTCCCCATCAGTCCTGGCAACCTGTCACCACGAGGAGGACGTGACTGCGCTGCCTCCGCGTTCTCCAAGCCGTATTCCTTTAAGATGATGTAATAGTCATTTCCCTGGATGGTTTCTTGCCTGCACTGCTGAACAACAGCCTCCGAATTGCACCGGGAACTGTGGAACCACCCAGCTCCGCCGCCCGAGGAGCCGAGCCCCGAGCCCCCGCCGCCTCTCCGCGCTTCGCTGCGCCTCGGCGGCCTCGCTCCCGCCCGCTCCCCGGCTGGGAACATGGGAGTCCGTCTGCCCTTGCCCGCAGGTGGGGTGGCTACCTGGGACCCCAGCCGGGCACCTCTGTCCGTCCTTCTGCTTCTGGGTTTTCTGAAAAGCTTTTAAGTCCAGATACCTCTTGCAACTCTCCTGTGTTAAGGATCCTTCTAAAGGTTTGATTTTTTTTCCCCCCTGGAGAAGCTTTGGTTGAATATTTTTCTCTGCTTTACTTCTTCAACCAACCTCCTCTCATCACGGCTTAACTTTTTTCTTTGTGGATCGTTTAACTTGAGATTGGGAGTGAATACATACACGTACATACATATATACAAATATACATCTGTATAAATACGTATATCTATCTGTATATCTATATCTATATCTATATATAGATATATAGACATATATCTATATATATATATAATTATTTTCCAAGAGCACATCTCTGGCACTTTCCATTGATACCTCTATCCTTTACCTGTTTGGGATTTGATGAGATCCAGATTCAGTGTGGCTGTGGATTTTGATTGTTTTGGAAATGATTATTTCTTCACAAGAACCAGCACTTACTAAGGTAAGCTCCAAGACATTGCTTTTCCAGTCCTGCTTTTTAAAACTCTCCCTTTAGAAGTTGAAAATTGCATATTTCTTTTCAATGCACAATGATAAGTAGAATTGTTTTTCATACTAATTGCTGGAGTCAGAGGCTTAGGGATAAACATAAGGACACAAAATAGCACGAGAGAAGCTACAATTTAATTGAAGGATGGCTGATATCAGTAGTTTCTGGGCTGCTTATGTAAAATAATCTCTCCCTCCTTCTTCCCTCCCTCTCTCCCTCTCTCTTCTCTCTCCAGAGGTCTCTCTTTCTCTGACTCATTCTGCATTTGAAGAAATATTTTTTTTTCTCTTTTCCTTCAGATGGACCTTTGAGTAACCGGGGACTTGGCCTGCCTTGACTAAGCTTGATGGGAGATCAGCTGTGGATGAGTTGATTACATTTCGTGAAGTAAGAGCTCTTCACCAGCCAGGGTTTAAACTACTTTCTCAGCATCACTTCACCTGTGGACTCTTCTAAATTTTGCTTTTTTGGGAGAAGAAACCAGGGTAAGAGAACATCATTTTAAAACAAGTTAGCATCCTCTCCCTTCTCTTACAAGTGGATGCAAAGGATAAGGCTGTAATTCCATTGGACTGCACCTTTAAATCAAAATAGCAGAAGAAAGGAACAATGGCTCTGAGTGGAAATTGTAGTCGTTATTACCCTCGGGAACAAGGGACTGCAGTTCCCAACTCCTTCCCTGAAGTCATAGAGCTGAATGTTGGTGGTCAAGTTTATTTCACTCGCCATTCTACACTAGTAAGCATTCCTCATTCCCTCCTGTGGAAAATGTTTTCCCCAAAGAGAGACATGACTAATGAGATAGCCAAGGACTCAAAGGGAAGGTTTTTCATTGACAGAGATGGATTTTTGTTTCGTTATATTCTGGACTATCTCAGGGACAGGCAGGTGGTCCTGCCTGATCACTTTCCAGAAAGGGGAAGACTGAAAAGGGAAGCAGAATACTTTCAGCTCCCAGATTTGGTCAAACTCCTGACTCCTGATGAAATCAAGCAGAGCCCAGATGAATTCTGCCACAGTGACTTTGAAGATGCCTCACAAGGAAGCGACACAAGAATATGCCCCCCTTCCTCACTGCTCCCTGCTGACCGCAAGTGGGGTTTCATTACTGTGGGCTACAGGGGATCTTGCACCATGGGGAGAGAGGGGCAAGCAGATGCCAAGTTTCGCAGAGTCCCCCGAATTTTGGTTTGTGGAAGGATTTCCTTGGCAAAGGAAGTCTTTGGAGAAACTTTGAATGAAAGCAGAGACCCTGACCGAGCCCCAGAGAGATATACCTCCAGATTTTATCTCAAATTCAAACATCTGGAAAGGGCTTTTGATATGTTGTCAGAGTGTGGATTCCACATGGTGGCCTGTAACTCATCAGTGACAGCATCTTTTGTCAACCAATATACAGATGACAAGTTCTGGTCAAGCTACACTGAATATGTCTTCTACCGTAAGTACCACAGTTTCTTTTTATTTTCCATGCCTATTTATAATCAGCATGAATGTGTGTGATTCCCATATTCTGTCAATATCTGAGGAACATGGTTTGAGACAGCTGTAACTCTTGAATTATAGCTAGAGTACTAGAGGTGATAGCTCAGCTTGCAAGGCTTACTTAAGGTAACTTTTATCTACTTTTCTAATAAGGTCAGCATATTCCAAGGCCTTAAAGATCATAGATGCAGATGACAATGGTAGGGGTCATCTGTGGAATGAAAACAATCATGTGCATCTCTTTTCTTTGCTAGACGATGAATTGTGATGCTAAGGTTAATGATTACAACTTGGCTCTTGGTTCATGAGAGTTTGGAAGAGTCAGAATGGATGAAATACTTTGGTCTGTCCTTCAGTTCAGTTGAATTTTGAGGTCTCTTAAGCTAGTTGTCTGAGACTTACTTTTTTATTCAGGGGCTCTTCAAACACAAGTGGGTGTTGCACTGAGTGATGAGGTCTTGGCTAGATGGCAGTACAGACTGCGGAAAGGCCCCTTCCTCCCCCCAAGTCTGAAATGTGCTTTTACGAGCTTTAAAAATCTGCTATTTGATTCATTTTGCATTTTGTACTGAGACTTGAGTTGTACTACAGACTTAATTAAACTGAACTTAATTAAGATCCATCTAAAAAGAACTAAATCCTTCATAATTGTCAGTCACATGCAAACACCTTTTAGATAGCTGAGGTGATAGAACTATAGACATAAGAAGTGAGAGTGGGAGAAGGGAAATGATTGTACTGATAATGTTTTAAGTAGGGATTCTTAGAGGTCAGTACGTGTGCCTAAATGAAGGCTTATGATATAGATTGTCTTGTCTTATGAAACAGCATTATTCTAAACCATAAAGTATAAGCTGTGGATCTCTGAGGGGAGAATAGTAAATCAGTTTATACTGTTTGGTGCTTGGTTTAACAGTTGATTGTCAACAGGCCTGGGAATTGGGTGAAGTAAATTCTACAGGGACTGCGTTTCCAGGTTTACATTTAATTTCCTGCATCCTAATTTTAAAGCAAATTCAGAGTGTGGGATTAAAATATTTAGATTTTTGGAAACATACAAGTAAAACTTAATGCTTGGACTGGATTTTGCCTATGGTTGTGTTCGTACATTTGGAGCTGGCATTGGCCAATGGGAAGCAGTGTTGTGTGTCTTGAGTATTTGGGTTTTATAGGGATGAAATGCATGGATTACATAGACAAGACAGCCTATGGGGAGAAGTTAAATTAGTTCAGATGCATGCTGATGTATATGAACAAACATTATTTGGTCTAACAAACCTATCAATGGTCTTTACCTATAGTCTGTGCTTTCCCCTGTTCTAGAACTTAGTCACTAGGTACTTCTTTCCTTCTGAAGGATTTCACACTAGTATAGAGAGAAGACTGATTTTTTAGCCTTTTGTGGAAGAATTGGAATCATCTATAATCCCATAGAACAAATATCTTTTCTAAACTCTGGGGGAAATTACATTTTAGAGATAGTTCAAATGTACGTTTGTGATATTTACCATGTTCTGCAGTTTCTAATATTTGAAAACATAGCATCTCAGGAAGTTTCTACCAAATAATTAAACAAAACATAGCAGTCATAACCCCCAAAGGGACCATACTATATTTTAATTCCTTGACCACCTAAATGAGCCTCTTAATCGTAAAAGTGTTTGCCTACCAGTTCGGTGGCATTTCTGCATTCATCAAAGTCTCATCTGCCTAACACCGTGGATTGTCCTGAAAGAGGCTCTGTTCTCCTGATCATGTAATTGTTTCCTTTGTTGGATTGCTCAGAGGTTGCTGAGAAACACTTTGCTTTCCATCTCTCTGTGGACAGGCTAGAGAAAACACAACAGGGATTTCATACCAACTATATGCATCTTACAAATCATGTACTTCCCTTTTGCACCCAACATCCAGAGCCAAGTATTAACTCTTCCCCTATCTTAGGACCAATAAAACTGACAGCTGGCTTTCTAGGGTGTGTAACAGCTTCCGTGCAGCTGCTTAGCCATAATTATTTAATTAGAAGCTGCCAACTGTGCCTATATAAGCATTAATTCATCAAGCTGTTGTGCTCAGGTTAATGGGCCAAAACCATGGGAGGTGCTCTGAAGCAAGGGGTTGACTACATGCCAAGGTGCTTTTTACAGAGGAACACAACTTCCTCCTGAGTTTAGCAGAGAGGAAAACACACACACACACACACACACACACACACACACACACACTCACTCACCCTCGATCCAAAGAATTAATTCCAAGCAATCAAACCCCAGAGTAATGCAAGATCTCTTTGCCTGTATCTGTATCATATTAAAAAATGAACAAAGAATTTGGTGTGTGGTAGTCATGTCACGGGACCCTTTTCTCTCTGTTTGCCTATTTTTTCATCTAAGTCTTCCATGGGGAATTTGGGAGACCCAAATCTACTTATCAGTCATTAACATTTCATATTGTTATCTTATTTAAATTTTCATGCTGACCAAGATTTGATGTAATTTTGGGTGAGTGTTTTGTTTATGTAAAAGTATAAACAATTAAAAAGCTGACTGGTATTTGTTTGTATTTAAGAGAAAGGTAAGAACTGTGTTTGACTGCATCACTCACATATTGAAATATGATATGTGAGATACTGTGGAGTATGCCTCACTTATTTGTAACAAAAAGAGTTAATGTGAGTGCCTATAGAAACAGAAGAAAGTACATCTGTTTCTTTAGAATTACCTCACAAAATATTCTAGGTACATCCTTTGCTTTTATTTAAGACAACAAAAGTTCCTTTTTCTCCATATCTAGCCAACTGGCAAAATAATACCCGCTTTTTTTTTTAACATATTACATAGATGATGTCATAAACATCAGACAGCGCTTCCTGGTTCACATCTAAATAGAACTGCTGTGAAGTAATTTGGAAAAGAGAAGTCCTCAGTTTGAACTAGATACTCAGTAGCCATCACACTGCTTAGGAACAAACTCACAGGTGCATGGAAATAAATGTCCTCCTTATTTCTGGATCCATCCTCTAAATGCCTGAGTGGAAAGATTGTCTTTGGTTGAAGAGAATAATACACATTTACTTAAGCCTAGTCAGGAGTAAGCTACTTCAGATGAATGCCTGAAAGCACTCAGAATTGAAGGCATTTGCCTCTAATAAAACTGTGATAACATGACTAAGGTAGGTAGTTAAATGCATGGGACACATTCTTTTAAGAATATTCACTTTGAATTCTATGAATTGCAGAAACAATTACCTGTTCATCGTCTTTTCCACAAATGGCTGCTTATAGGCATATAGCCTTCTTTTTCAGATTTCCTTAAAATTTAAAAGCATGCTTCCATTTGAAAGTCTCTAAATTACATATGCAGTATATATTTTTGAGCCTTTTCAATAATATAATATGTTGGCAAAAATTATATTAGCAAATTACTTCTCTCTTAGATTTCAGCTGCATGACCTTCTATTGGAAAGAAATATATGGTTATGTCCACTGTGAATAATTGATTCAATACTGACCATAAAAGCATCAACTAAAGGGTCTACCTTCATAGGAAAACAGGTGGAAGTACATCTGTCCTTAAATGATTCTAGCTCTTTTTTCTCCTGATTATTTGAAAGACACCAATAATAACTTCGATTTTTATTCCCCATAGAGTGATGAGGTTGGCACATTCACAATGAAACAGCAGAGTGTAGACAAAATCGTGAGTGCTGTGAGGGTTGGTCTCTGCCAGCACTTCCATCTCCTCTTTTTTGTGGCTTTTTTGTCCTCTCAGCTTGGACACTATCTTTGCTTTCTGTTCCTAACTGCATCTCTTAGGTTTTCTCCCCATGCTATAATCAGAATTTGTTGTCAGGAATACAGCTCTATCATTACTCTTAGAATGAACTGAAGGCATAGTGTTACATTTCACAGAAGTATTTGTGCAGAGGGACATTTTTAATAGTTGTGGATCATGCTGCCGCCTTTAACTCTGATGGGGCCTCATCCTGAAGTCAACTTAGATCCAATGCCCACGCAGATATTTCCTAGTTATAACGCAGGGGTAATGATGCAGTTTTCAATAATTTATTTAAAATGCTGTGGATTGAGAATTGGGACCATTATCGGTACAATATGACATGAGTGTACTAGGAAATATTTGATTTTATTGTCTTTATGTCCATGTCAAATAATAAGATCTATTACCTGAGCTCAGTTCCCTGTGGGAGATGACTAAAATAGTTTCTTCATGAATGTGTAGGATCACTGAGTGAATGTGGCAGAAAAGACATGCCCATATATGAACAGAGAGGGAGTGAGAGGTCTCTGAGATTATAGCCCAGTTGCAAAAGTATACATGATAGGAAAGAGAGGGCTGGATGTTCCTAACCCCCAATAAGGTTTAGATCTTGTCAAGAAAATTTGAATTGGAAACATCTGAGAATCCACGAAGCACCTCCAAACACCTCCAAAGGGAAACATGGAGAGGAAGGATTGTAAGAGGAGTGCTGGTCCAAGGCACAGGAGAAAGATCTTTCACAGATGAGTAGACAAATGCTCAGTTTTATCATTATTCTATATTGTTTCTTTTTGGTGTGCCATTACTATGGCTTTCTTTAAATCCTGCTTTTCTTAATAAATCAATTCATTTTTTGTTATAGAAAATTTTCTAATGTAAGCAAATGTAGGGACAGTAATACAGTAAAACTCCATATAACTCACAGGTGCAAGAATTGCAGTTACCATTACAAGACAATCTTATTTCATTTAGGCTTTTATTTCTTTCTTTCTGCCCTGCATTATTTTTTTACACTGCATTATTTTAAAGCAAATTACAGATATAAATTATTTAATTCATCCAAAATACTATTGTATGTATTTCTAAAATATAATACATTTTAAAAGTAATGTAATATCATTACCCCATAGTTTTTTTTTTCCATTTGTGTATTTGGTACAGGGTCTCATTATACAGCTTGGA